TGCCTTTTAGATAAATAAACACATACTATCTGCTCTATATAATGTTTGATAATCAATCATTATTTGTCATATTTGAGTAGGACCTAGAATACATGATTTAATATTCACCTTGACTGACATGGCTTGCTCTTTTGATGAATGTTATTGATGTATCTGTCTATATTGGTTGTTTTAAAGTATGAGGTGATGTTGATTGTTCTTTTTTGAGTTGATATGCTTTGTTGACTTGATGAAAAATAGTAATATGATGCCTGTCATTATGGGTGATATTGCAAGCTCCAGCTATGAGATGAGCTATTTCCAGTATCAGGGCTAAATGAGGGCTTTACTTTATCATATCTAATTCAGGGCTTTGCTGTCTCATAGTTGAGTGAGGGCTTTTCTTTACTTATCACAACTTCAGTGAGGGCTTTACTATAGTATCACATCTAATTGAGGGCTTTACTGCATCATAGCTGAGTGAGGGCTTTACTGTATCACAGCTCAGTGATGGCTTTACTATATCACAATTGATGGACTTAATTGAATCACAGCTCAGTGATGTCTTTACTTTATCACAATTGATGGACTTAATTGAATCACAGCTCAGTGATGGCTTTACTATATCACAATTGATGGACTTAATTGAATCACAGCTCAGTGATGGCTTTACTATATCACAATTGATGGACTTAATTGAATCACAGCTCAGTGATGGCTTTACTATATCACAATTGATGGACTTAATTGAATCACAGCTGAGTGATGGCTTTACTATATCACAATTGATGGACTTAATTGAATCACAGCTCAGTGATGTCTTTACTTTATCACAATTGATGGACTTAATTGAATCACAGCTCAGTGATGGCTTTACTATATCACAATTGATGGACTTAATTGAATCACAGCTCAGTGATGGCTTTACTATATCACAATTGATGGACTTAATTGAATCACAGCTCAGTGATGGCTTTACTATATCACAATTGATGGACTTAATTGAATCACAGCTGAGTGATGGCTTTACTATATCACAACTGCGAGGGATTTATTATATCACAGCTCAGTGATGGCTTTACTATATCACAACTGAGTGATGGCTTTACTATATCACAACTGAGTGATGGCTTTACTATTTCACAACTTGGAGGGCTTTACTGTATCACAGCTTAGTGAAGGCTTTACTATATCATAACTGAGTGATGGCTTTACTATATCACAACTGAGTGATGGCTTTACTATTTCACAACTTGGAGGGCTTTACTGTATCACAGCTTAGTGAAGGCTTTACTATATCACAACTGCGAGGGATTTATTATATCACAGCTCAATGAGGCATTTGCAATATCACAACTTGGTGGGCTTTACTATATCGCAGCTTAATGAAGACTCATAGTTCTATGATGCTTTTGCTTTATCACAGCTCATCGGGGCTTTATTGTATCATGGCTCAATAAGGGCTTAACTGTATGAAGCTCTTTGTGTGATATACCAAGAAACTGCTCATGTTTAATGTCACTGATAGCTTCCAGTATAATTGATATATAAGGGAGTTTAAGCTTGCATATAAAATCGAAATGCCACCTATATGTGACCAATCGCCCATACAAATGCATCGCTTAAATAATTTCTGTTCACGTTTAGGTTGGGTAAAACATTGCAAGCTTAAACTCCCTAATATTAGATATTTCAGATAATCATGCCTTTAGCTATGATAGGAGTGGTGAGTGGGGGCCCCAGAAAAAAAATTTGGCCCCTAAAAATTGGTGGGCCATAAAAGGCCTTAAGCCCCGAAAAGTGGGCCTTTTTGGTCATTACTGGGCCTTTATGGCCTTATTTTTTAATTTCAGGCCAAATTTTGAAGAAAATAGGCCTCAAAATTTCAAAATTTGGGCCCACTTTAAGGTTTTAGGTTAACTTTTTTTTCGTGCAAGCGCAGAAGTTTTTCTCTGACCTGAAATTTGGACCCCCCCCCCCCTCTGTTGCTTCCCAGATACACCCCTGCAGTTGCAATGAAAAAATGGCACAAACCCCAGTAAACCATAAAAAACTTAGATAATATGAATTTACTGATTTATACAAGAGCCTATCTTAATTTGGGTAATGGGAAGTTCTTGAAAAATCACATTTAATATATTATATATTATATCACTAATGGAGTTGATCTATGAAATGCAATCTTCCACTAATTATGATTAAAATTCACATACTGTTAGACTCATCTCCTACATGCTGTATATGCCATGCTATAAATTGTTGATGAATAAATACATCGGCCTTGATCTAATATGAGTTGTAAATTTATATATTGTAATAGTACATGATGATGTAGTATAGAACCAGAATTATGTTATTGCATTGGTATTTCTTAATGTGGTAGACTATATATTATTTAGATGGCCTATATTTGATTTAATAATGAGGCCCTATGTGTTAATTGTCAGTTCAGCAGAATTATTTTCGAAGCAAGCGACCAGGACTTCTGATACTCATCACATCAAGTCAGTGTGGAAGCTTAACAGTCGCACCTCGCCAGAGGCGGAAATGAAAAGTGCTGGGCGATAATTTGTGATTTTTACTTGCCTTGCTTGCGATTATGGATTTAGAACGCTTTCAGGCGAGAATCCCGGTGACATACCCACGACATTACTGTCAAAACATAAGATAAAGTGTTTACTTACCATACAGTTTCTTATTTTTCTAAAATAAAGTCTGAAAAACCGGCAATTTTCAAGTAAAATCACCGTATTATTAGATACCTTTTGAAGATTGCTAACTTCCTGTTAGTGAGAGAGGGAGACATCTATTGAGAAAAATACTAGTAATTGCTTTCAATAAGCATACCCCCTTCAATAAAGTTTGCAGTTCCCATTTCACCATGTAGATTTGAAATAAAAAATAAAATCTTGGGAAGGGAAACTCTAAAACGCAACAGCTGCATAAATTAAGCAGGTTGACCTTTCACTTAGAGCCACTTAGGAATGTTTATTATAGTGTGAAATTTAAATTTGAATGTTGAAACAACATGATTGGTCTATTATAATTTGGTCTGATCACATGACTACCAATGTTTATGTTCTCATAAGACAACATCTTTTCTCTGAATTGATTGACTTGAAACATTCTTCTAAGGTCTTTTAACCTTTAGCGTGCTGCCGGCGAACGCATCCGCCGAGACTAAAATGTCTCTCACAACTGCCGGCGGACCCGTATGCCCAATTTCAAACTTTTAAAAACTTTACTTTTTCGCGCCATTCGTATTGTCCAATTAGATTGCCCGATTTATTCAGTGCCTAACATGACTTCCTGTTGACCTAAAAATGGCGATATTTCGAAAAATAATTCTCAATTCAACAATTTAAACAGTGTTTTAGTCGTTTTAAGTGAACAAATCGTACAAAATGGCGGACAAATACGATCACTACGAAAATGTGGAGGAAATGGACTACGATTTCGAGCTCTTTAGGCTCTTGGAAGCCGATAATGGTCATCGAAAATAGAAACTAGAATATTTTCTGAATTGAAAAATTGAACATTCGATCGCTGCAAATTCAGATTTGAATTCTGACCAGACGAAGGGGCGGAGCGGCGGATTTTGGAGGAGTATTCATGGTATATTTATGCCCAGTCATGTTATTGTACGAAAAATATTCATAAGAACATTTATTTCATGAGCCAGGCCACTGTATCTTCCCTTTGTGAAAATTTTATCCAGATTCATTCAGTAGTTATTGAGATATTAATTATTTAGTCCAGGCATATCATTTTTTGCACTCTTTGAAAAAGAAGCCAGTTACGTGGGATATATTTGCTGAAATAAGGCAGCATGGTAAAGGTTAAAGCTAATTCTATTTACTTTTGAGTCAGAAAAATACTATTTTTTGAGGCAAATACATCTATATCTATCATTCTGGAAAGAAGGATAGTCCTGTATCATGTGTATGATCCAGTTCTTTTTATATCTTATTTTAATGTCATATTAAAGGGGGATGGTTTATTTTGTAAACATAATAAACTTGAGATCAACAGATCGATCGATTTGTTTTTAGTGTCAAGGAAAACTGTGTCGGTAAAAACAACTACCTTACTTTGGAATTTAGTTACCTAGAAAAAATGTCAGGTAACTATTTTCACTACCAGTCTAAAAAGTTGAGTTCGAACCCTGACAAAGCGAGCCAATGGTAAGCCAATTGTTTTCAATAAATTATTTGATAATGAAAAATGCATGCAGTGGAAAATGTAGCTGCTGAGATAGTACCATCAAATGACACAGATGATGATGATGATGATGATGAAGGGTTTGATGAGCTATCGCTAAGTGATGATGATGAGTATGAACTGAGTGAAAAACAAGTCAATGACAATATGAAGAATATCATAACAATAATGGATAAGGATGATGACTTATAAATGTAGTATTTTTATGACCTTCTTGCAAAAGAAGTAGAACCTGAACAAATACATGTAGTACTAGTAGAAAATGAAGCTGATTAGATACTATGATTGATAATGATGATGACTATAAATATAGTATTTTTATGAATTTCATGCAATAGTTAGTTATAGTCAGTTTAATTTCATTATAATACTATGTATGCGCAATGGCGAGTTATTAGGCTACAATGGCAAGTATAAAAACATTTGCACTTGCCAAATGTTGGCAACTTAAAAAATGGCAAGGCAAGTATAAACCCAATACCAATTGCCTATCAGGCAAGTATAACCCAAAACTCAGCTTCCACACTGCAAGTGCATATGTGGAATTTAATCATTCTTGGAAGAATTTAACAGTTAATTTAGGCAGAATCATTTCTAAAAAAAAGTAACCTCTCTAAGATTATCTATAGACAGTCAGTTGTAAATATTTTTTTCAATTTTGTCACCGGTTATACCTCTGGTTCTGCCTTAAAAACACCATTATCCACTTTCCATATTGGTAAATGTCAGAAATTCTCAGTCTGGGACTGCATTTATGTAGAAATTCCCATGGCATTAATTATTATTTTTTATGTATTTGTAGGTGCGTGTGCGTATCTTGCAGTCTTATATCAATGACCTAAGTGAGCAAAATGAGGTTCTCGTACAGACTGTCGAGGAACTTGAAAAAGAGGCTAACGAACGAGTCTGTCTTCTGGAGTCAAAACTGGCAAAAACAACTAATGCTGTCAAGGTATAATTCACTTTTTTCTAATTTCAAGTTTCAGCAAATTCATGTTTACTTTCAGTACATGCAGTATAACCTATCTAATCCATATATATTTTATATACATGCAGTTAAAATCATATGCCCTGGTATGTGGTTTATTTGTTGATAATAGATGTCTCCCCAAATCTGAAAAATACTTTAAATTTCACTCAAATGTTAGCACAGTAGGCTATTAGCAAATATTTGTCTTCAAAAGTCGTAGTGTTAACAACTCTATGTAAGAAAACACCGAAAGTTTCCAAGTTAAAGTTAACGAGTTAATGGGTTCCTGAACTTCCTGCCCTTTCACCGCCATCAAATATTTGTGATGTTATTTTAGGGAATGGAGTTGGGAAATATATGTTTACCTTTGAAATTCCATTGTTAACATAAGCACATAATATGTGAGTTATATTAGAAGGGAGATTAATTTGAATTAATTTCATTTCCCACTGTTAATTTTCATGTTACATTTAATATTTCAATCATCATGTGACCCAAGCACCTACGTTACTATTCAAATCAGTTTTACTTGTGTAACATTTGAATAAAGAATGAATATATTTTCTGTTTTTAGTATCCTAAGTATTGTACTTATGATCCTTTAACTGTTTTAACTGAAAATGAATATGAGCCTTTAGCAGTTTTCAATGCTTTTCAATTCAAAACTAAAAAGTGGTCAGTTTTTGCCTTTTTTAATTTATTTAATTTAAGTCCCTGGAGAATTGAGTAAAAATGTTGGTTTGTTTTCATAGTGCCATTACTACTCTATTCAAATCTGGCGCTTAAACCTTATAAACCTTTCAATTATTAAGTCAATATTGAACAAAATTGAATTTGATTTGCAGACAATACCAAGTAAGCAATCCGATAAAGGGCAATAAATGCATTGAACTAGAAAGGGACCCTCAAGTTATATTTTCATCTTTACTTTCATTTCATTTTTCCCGTTTATCGTGATACTAAATGACAACATTGTGGTTTCAAGTTCCACAAAATTAATTTCACTTTAGGAGTAACATGTTTGGCACATTTTGATCATAATTATAAAATTATTAAATCAAGGTATAATGAATCGAAAATGTAACAAGGGGTCATTTGTTGATAAATCTGTGCTAATCCAATGTACTGATTTGCAAACATCAATTCAAGATTTAACCTGTACGTCTTTGACAATCTTAACAACTCTGGGTACATGATCATATATTGGTTATTGTATATCAAAATACAGGTTAAATATTAGAGCACTTACACGCTTAGTGTAATTTAAGAGTCAAGTATATAAGGAGGGAAATACTAACGGCGTGTTGAGTCAAGTATGATAAATTGAGAGATTTCCGTTTTTCCTGCATGAATACAAAAATGGATTAATGCTAATAAAATCTGAATTGTTGGATTATTCAAAAAAGAAGCAGTGTTTATCAATTTTGCATGAAGAATATTTTGGAATTAAAACATGAAGGAATTTTACACTTTTACAGAAGAAGAAATTGAATAACTGCTTTGATAAGTTTAAATAAAGATGAAGTTGGCAGTATGTTTGCTATAATAATGTAGTTCTGGCCAATAAGCAACTCGAGATTTTTTACTTGATGAAAAAATGGAGTTGAAGGATCTATCATTAACATCTACTCCTAAAACAAAGAATTACGGATTGGGAAAATTACAAGAAAAACATACCAAGTCTGAAATCAATGTAAATCCCAGTTCAAAATTGAAATTGGACACACAAAATAAACAATTAAAAGATTATGAAAAAATGAATAGAAATATCACTAAAAGATTGACTTATGAAAAGACAGAACTAAGTTCAGTTGGGGCCACTCGATCTCCATCCATTGTGGATCCGCCAAACATATTACAAAGCAAGGATGAAGTCATGCGACTTTCTGATTTAGATCTTCATGAACGATTAATTAAGATAAGTAAACAAGTCAGCAGTTCTCCTCGAATAAAACAACCTAAAAAAGACATCAACTCACATGATCCTAACAACAATTCAAATTCACTGAAAAATTCTAAATATTCTGAATTGGATAATGTCAAAGAGAATAATGGAGGTACCATGCCTAGTGCAAGATATAAACCATATAACGATAAAATTCAATCGTACAAATCAAAAGCAATAACGAAATCACGATCAGTCGTGCCTGAACAGTCTTCAACTATAGATGTCACTCCATCACATATTACTTCGTCGCACATCACATCACCACGAGTGATGTCTGCTCCATCTATCACGGGAATCCTGAGTGTAAACAAGAGTTTGAATGCTTCGATGAATAAGAAAGTCACATGGAAGGAACCAATAGAAATGCAGTCGGTAGGAATATTATTATAAAAGCGTCCAATCAAAATATAGATCACTCAATATTTCATTTTTGCTTCATTTTTGTATTATTATAACTAATGTTATTCGTTCATTTAAATCGATTGAATGACATAATTAGAGGTTATGTCACTATCGTGGCATATATGCCCGAGGTCTCAGTGATATATGGCCCGACCTTGGGAGGGACATTGATCTCTGAGAACCGAGGGCATATGTGCCACGATAGTGACATAAACGATTTATAACATACCTATGATGATGTAGACTGGTCAGAGAGTACCGTTTTCTTATAGAATTGACAAACAAATGGTTTGAAAATGATTGAAATGAGTTTAGAAAAATTGCTCGCGCAGTTTTATCTTCGATTGATTGGTTATGACGTCAGCGCCTTGACCAATCAGAAAGTTGGCGGGCGCGGGCTTTTCAAAACTTATATTGGCCCGCTGTCTTGTGTACACTTTGCACTATACATCATCATAGGTATGTTATAATATCTGATAGCACCCCATGAGCATCGCAACATTTCCTTCTATAAAATATGCACATCTATGTGAAGACTTGAAAATTAAGAGAGTCTGGTAGGGGATTCATTAGTAATGGGGCCACTGTTTTAGCAAATGTGAATCTTGTTTTAGGAGTTATTAGTTGGTTTATTTGATGTATAGATTTATGGATGTATAGATAAATTAAAAATTTTCCAAAACTGCTCTTGTTCAAGTATGAGTGCAATATTGATGTTTTTGAATTTTGATTATGTTCCCCAAGACTAACAATTTGAGGTCTACTTGTCTTAGATGTTCCCCAAATCAAACTCATGAAGACAAATATACATTGAGAAGAAACATGAAGATTTGTCTTACAAGCCAATAATGTATTTACTTAGGCTGTGTTTAGACTGTATATGGTAGAAATCAGTATACATTAGAAATCAGAAAATAGTCTTCAAAAGAAAAAAGAAACACACAAAGACGATATTTAGATATCAAAATTGACCATATTTCGGATAGATGAGACTATCACAATGCAGTGATTGTCTAATTTAAAATAAACCTAGTTGATATGATATCTCTATAATGCCAAGACCAGTTAGACAAATAAAGATATCAGACACCTCAGCGTTGCTTCCAATATAGTAAATGCTATATGTCAATATAAATGCTATACTATTGTTATATTAGCACCTATATTAATAATCTATAATACTCTATAGATTTCCTTATAAAATTACATAAGATGCCTGCTAGCTGTAACAGCTCATTCCATTATTGGAAAGTGTGAAATGTCAATTTTTTCCTGATAATCTTATTTTATCTAAAAGAAAAGAATGCATCAGATCAAATATAGATGTTACTAGTATTTAAGAATGTGATTTAAGAATGAGAATTCAATATACAACGATTATCCTGAAATATAGTCCGAACTGTATAATATTTCGTAAATGCTAATACAGTATAGTACATACAGTACAAAATATAACAAGGTGAATATATCTTAGCAACCCCTAGGCATAGTTACTAACCAGGCCTTGTCATACCATGAGCTTTTTATGTCCCTTGTTGAGGTGATCATTCGACCAAATTTGCATATTCACTTCTTGGACCCATGCCTTAGCAATGGTACCACCAAAGCAAATGTTTACCAATTATGGCATCATAATACCATGGTAACATCTCCATTTATGCCCTCCTAGTTAATTCCTGTGTTTATATATTTCAAAATAATGGTTTTAGGAATCTATAGAATTAAAGGATGAATACACCTTAAAATTGTTTTAAAATTACATAATGTGTGGTTTCAGGAATATATGTCAAAGGCTCGAGACTATGAACGTGAGATGAAAGCTTACGCCACAGACAAAGCCAGAGTTGAGAATTCACTTAAAGTAAGCCTCAATTTCATTTCATTTTAAAGTTGTAAATAAATTAATAAATGAATAGATAAATAAATTCACATTCAGGCATGAAACGGAATATTTTAACATTCGTAAGAATACATAATTCAACATGAATTTGTTATGTTTGAATTAAACAATATATACGTATGGTCTGGGGATATGCCAAATAAAATGTGTCCATATGTCCAAAACGATGGCTTGAGAGCCATCATCTCAATTATATAACGACTCATTCAGGAAGATTTTCTAAACGTGAACTCAGCATTTAATGAAAGGTATCATGAATTCAATTGGACTAATTTTTAGGAATTAGAATCGCAATACCAGCGTAGCACGGCAGATAACCAGGTGGTACGGGATGAGAATATAGATTTACGTCATGATATCAACTCACTTATTAACGTCATTAGCTACGCACGCACTACTGGGAAGTGGGATGTAAGTACTCTTTTAAAATTCCAAAACCACAGAAAGTCAGGATTCACTTCTAAAGTGGTTTCTTAATTCTTTAATTATATATTCACAGATATCTATGTCTGATCATATTGTTGCTATATTTTTTAATAAACATCTCATTGCTCAACAATATGTCTCCATGACTATTTATTTTCTTATATTTTAATATTTTGATCATTAATTATCAGTTGTAGCTATGTATGTCTGATTGTCTAACAAAATCTATCATTTTTCTAATTTTTGTGCGCATTGTTTTTTCAGATTGATAACTTAGAACTAAGATGTATCACATTTGAACAAGTGTTTGGGAGTTGGGATGAAATTGCCAAAACGTAAGTTTCCTCTTTTCCCGATAGTTTTTGAAATGAAACGAAACTGATGTTTGATTTTTTGCAATAGGTGACAATTTGTAAAGTAATACCTATCTAATCTGAATGCCTCTGGGACTGGCCACGAATGTGCATTATGCATTTCTTCTCTTTCTGAAAAATCTTGAACTCTAAAGCAACATTTGTTCTGAATTTCTGTTTGTTTTATTCCAGAAAATCATCAGAAGATATTCTAGAAGACCATGTAGTTACACTAAAACAGCATTTAAAAAGCCGCGATGATATGATTGAAAACTTGCAGAAAGATTTACGGAAAGTTCGCAATGAGCACCAGAGTGTACTAGATGAGGTAAGAGAATGTTTATATATTCACAAAAATTTCACTGACTACATCATTCCCACTATATTTTTCTCAAATCAACATGCTTTTAAAGAGAATGCTTAGGGCTAATGCAGGGAGTGATGCAAGACTATGAAAGTTCAAATAGAAAAAAGGATACTTTTGCCCCAGGACTTTTGCAAGGTAACGTTACGAAGTTCTTGATACTGGAGCAAATTATTTGAGTTTGTTAAATTATTCGATTTTTATCGATGATGATTTTATTATAGACTTGCATTTATGACAAGCCAGTCAAGTCAATCGTGTATCATGATAGGAAGTCAAAGAAACACTGCAATGAAATGACATCAAGAGTGTTTAATTAACTGGAAGTAACTGAGGCATTGACGTCATTGTTGTAATTGCAGGCATTGACGTCATTGTTATAATTGCCACCTGTGGTTCATAAGTCACTATTTTATTAATAGTAATATTATACGAGTATTGGTGTTTATTGCAGTTCACTTTTTAATAAATCTAATTTTGAATTGTTGCCACTTGTGAGGTTTGATAAAAAATTCTGAGGAAAAGTCTGGTCTTGAACAATGTTGCCTGGTCAAAACATTTTACTCTATGACTCAATTAGGGTCCCATTAGCTCTGATTGGTGTATGGTTACCTTTATATACTCACATTAAGTTGTATTACTTTTTCTGTATTATATTTACCTTATTTATTGTATTTAGCTTATTTATTGAACTTACCTTGTTTATTGTATTTAACTTATTTATTGTATTTAGCTTGCTGGCAGAGACATAGTGCTTGAATCAGTGACGAGCACTTTACATTCCATACATGGCAAAGAGCTGAACACTTCCGCGAAACTTTCTGATAAAGAATTTAATATTATGAAGTTGAAGGGTGAAGTACAGCAACACCAACAGAAAGCTTCCGATCTGCAAGTTGAGGTAAGAAGCTTATCAAATCACATTGTAGTCTTGCTTCAAGTTTATGGACCCCCCCCCCCACCTCTTAACTGCTTTACTCCCTTGTTGGGAGGTGTGCATGGGTGGGGGGTGGTCTCAAGGAGTTGTAGCTTGTTTTTATTTTGGTTTAGGTCTTCTTTATCTCCCCTGTATCTGATCCATTTCCCCCCACGTTTGCCCTTTCCCCCACATTTCAACCCCATTATATATCATATTGTTCAAAAGACTTTATTTAATTCTTGACAAAACAGGGGAGTGTAGATGATTACGCTAGCCTGTTCTGGTTTAGTTCATCATGTACATGAAATCAATATCAAAGGCCACAAATATGAACTTTTGTTTATATATAGGTTGAATTAATTAATTGTTGTAACTTTGTTATGTAACCACAATTTACCACATATGCCAGATTGCAGTCATCATTGTTGTGTTCACATTATACAACTGTATCACAGTGTAATGGGCCAGAGTAATTAAATAATTTGTTTAATGAATACTCCATGTTCATGGTCAGGGGGTCATTGATGGAAACTTTGCAAAATTGAGAGTTCCCAATCAGTTGTAACCATGGATATAATGTTGTCACAGAAAAGAATGATGGACTGAGACCTCGTTCTGTTAAACACCATGGGAATAGATATTTTTTGATTTGTTCAACACAATAAGCAAACTATCCTACATCAAAAAATCTCAACACTCAACATAGAATTTAATCACGTTGGCCTTTCAGAACTTATGCCACTGGACTCTCCTGAAATAACCTGTTAAATGACGTACAATATCATTAGATGAATGCCAGCATATCTGAAATAACAGATTTTATAAAATAAAACTCAAGGACTAATCTGTTTATGACAATGCTCTGGAGATTAAAAAGCATTTAGAAATAGAATGTCCTCAAACTGTTTTCCTGCTGAAATATCGTGCGTGTGAAGTATCGTGCGTCATTGTTATAGGATTGTAACTTGATAGTAACAAAACAAATCCTATTGAGATCTAAGCAAGTAATTCCTGACAAGAAACACTTCTGGAGGAATAAAAATGGCTCTGAAACACATTGAAAACCATGAAAAACACCTGTAATTCTTGATTTTTGTTTTTGTATACTTTGAATTCCGAAAAAATATGCGTTGACAAGATTTGTGATTTTATCAACGTCATGTAGACTTAATAATGTTAATATTTTTATTTTTCATATGTTTAAACTACCTTTCAGTCAAATAATCAAATACATATCCTTTTTTCCAGGTTAGAAGTCGTGACTCAAAAATCTCACAACTTCAGACGGAGATTACAGAATTACATAACGAGATGACAATGAAGGACACAGAGATAAGCAACCACCTACAATCAATAAAACTCCTACAGGACAAACAAAGGAGTAGCAGTTTAGAGGTTAGGATGTTCTTTTTTTATACATTTGCGCAATCGGGATCATTCCACTGGATTTAAACCTGTGGCTTGCTATTTTTCAATAACATGGCTTTAAGGACAAATATGCTTAGCTGCAGAAATCACGGGAATGTCCATTTTGCGAGTTTTTGTGGATGGTGTTCGGCATTCAGTATCTGTAACAGCAGTCAGACTCTAACAAATGGCAGGTGGTAACATTTTGCATGTTAATGTCTTGTGAGCTCACGTGGTTAGCTTTTGCATTCACTCGCTTGTTTCAATCTGCCATGAACTCCCATGTTAAAAACCTCAAATTTTGACATATGAGAACACATCAAAAATACATCTCCTTATAGAGGGAGCCACATGTGCCATTAAAGGAAGAATACAGCAGATTGTTCACCCATAGTATACGTAGCTACTGATAATGGACCCTTGTAGTGTGCAGTAGTGTGATTGGGGTAGTGTTATGTAGTGACCTTTGTAGTGTCACATAGTACTTAACACAAACTATATTACATCACCTGTCACATCCATTTTCCCTTTTGTAGTATCAACGATTGTGTTGAGTGAAAGAGAAGCTTGGAAACTCAGATTAAAATATTAGTTCACATGAAATATCAGTTTTTGAAAATAGATACTATTTCTTTTAAAAGATGTCTCTGTCTAATATTTTTTTTTTCTATATTGAAGATGAGTAGCGTAAAATGTTATCATTTGGCTGTCACTATTGAGATGAAGTCAGATGATTTAATATGAAAGGAACATCATTTTCTGGATTTTATGAGAAAATGACGATTCAGATGTCATTACTGTGATTTGACTGTTGAGTTTAGAGATTCACATGGTAGAAAATACAGGATAAATGGACCAATCATGTTACAAGAAGGTTCAGTCATGGAAAAAGTGGTCTATTTTTTCATTTTCAAAGCCTCTTACCTGGTATAATCTTATGAAGTTAAACTAGTGCAAAGTTGCAAACAAACATGGTTTCATAAATAAAAACTGGATTATTATAATTCATCATGGGGTTGGAGATTCAATAATGTTTTTTTTTCTTTCTCACTTTTTGTTTAAGATTACTTTGTCCCTGTCTGCTTTATCTCCAGATCTTAGGCCTTCCATTTATTTTGGGCCATTTGCCCATTTTATTTTTTGTTATCACTTGTTTTTGATCTCACATATTTCGATTCTTAAATTTTGTTACAATTAGTTCCCTAAGTGTTAAGTGGAACTGGTATTGGCTCTTGCATTTATTTTTATCAATTTCATTAGTTAACGTTTATTTGTTATTTGTCAGTTTGTCAAATTACTACATTTGTCAGCCATTGTTTATATAAACAGATAGCAACCATTTGTTTGTTGATCAATGCTGTCACCTTTAATGCCAAAATGTCAGTTTCTTTGTTTATAATATGACTCTACAGAGCATTATGTGCTGTTTCTGAAATTATTTTTGTCACCTGTCACATCAAAAGTGTATAACTACTTTGGAGCCATCAGAAAGTTTTAACCCCTTAGAGCCCCTCAGAATATTTAACCCCTTGAGGACCCTCAAAAAGGTTTAATCCCTTGGGCCCCTAGAATTTTTAGCTCCTTGGGGGCCCTCAGGAAGTTTGTTTCAGGAACACATTCATTAACAAGTTTTCATCCTACAGGTGTATCCCATGTAAAATGTATCAAACCCACTGGTGCAGTACACACTATATGAGGAAGGTTATTTCCCAGGATGCATTGCAAATATCACATGTTAATTCTTTAACCTAGAAATAGCCAAATTGAGATTCAAAAATGCTGGGAATATCATACTGATTTAGGAAAGGGAATAAAACATGGGAAAATGTAAATGTAAAAGGATCTTGATTGCATACCTGCCTCCCTATGGGACAGTCATTAATTAGATCATGGTTTCTAATATGGAACAAATCAGACAGGCACTCGTGGGAGGTGAAGGGTTAAATTACCTGAGCCATGTTTCAGCATACAGTATTTAGAATTTGGCAAAAGCAAAAGTTCCACTCACAAGTAAAAGAAGCATGTTTAGTTTTTGGATAAAAAATATGAAAATTAACCAATGACGTGCAAAGTTTGACTTTGAAAGCAATTAATGAAACTGGTGGCATGAAACTGCTTTAACCACAACAAGTCAAATTGAGAGACCATTGCCATCCTTTGAAGAAGTAACAATAGTCAGGAACTTAAAAACAAATTGAGGAAACTGCGAAAGATTATAATCATTGGATTACAAGCAGCACATAAAATGGATTATCATATACAGGAATACTGAAGATTATGTGACATTACGCAGAAAAAGTTGGAGATGTAAAAAGAAGAAAAAGTAGCTGAAAAATTGTTTATTTTAAGAGCAAACAGGTGCTTTTAATATTTGAATTTTGGATCAAAAGTAATTTGTTATTTTAAAAGTGTTATTACATTGAAGGAAAGTGTGTTGGGGTTAGTTTTCAAGTTTGTAAACATATTTGGGCATTTGTACATATGATTTCAACAATAATAATATTTATCACCTTATAAGAAGAGTATTGTCCTATCTCACTTTATTACTACCTTACCAGGCCTGGTCTAGGGGTATTATTGCTCGTTTAGAAGGCATTTATTTTACTATATCGACCTGAGCAGTATGTGACGTCATAGTGGCGGGCCTTATTGCAGATCAATAATGTATTAATAATGCTTTGATATTTTTTATATTTATTTATAACTGGGTTTCATATTATGCTTTTCGTAAAGTATTAAATATATTATGAGATAAGAAAAGAATAATTCATGTCTTCAAATTTCATTGGCTGTTTTTTTGTTTTCGCGTGTTCCATCCTAAATCTTATTTTAAGCCAGATCACTTATCCCTGAGGTGTATCAGTTTCAGGGATCAGACAGAATTAGTTTTAGGCAAACATGTTGAAGCTTTCTATTATACCAGTCATACTCTGACTGAAAACTTTAAAAGTATTGTATGATGTAAACCTTATTTCATTTAAAAGTCTTAAAAACAAAGGATAAAAAAGACTTGGGGCTTCTATCTATTTAAACAGGAAGAAATGTTTGAGGTTCGTTGCTTGTGTTTAGAGGATATGAGTATGGGATAGTATAATTAGTGTTCTATGTAACAACTATCAGATATGATCAAGCATGTAATTCTGTCCAAAAATATATAATTAATTAATTAACCTTGACTGATTATATAATAATTAGATAAAGCCATGGTGGTCCATGTGTTCCCATAAAGTTCAGTACAATATTGAAAGAATTTAGGAATAAATGGAAATCAAATGTATCAATAGTATAAGTACATGTAGATCCAATGTAGTCTTGCATCAGACCCTTGTTTTTCTACCCCAGCAGCCCTCAATTCTTCAACTATGGAGTGGAGTATGTAGGGGGAGGGGGCTTAGGGGTGTTGAGAGACTCGATACATGTTAAAAAATAGAGGACTTATTTTTATTTCATGTCAGCAAGTTGTGATATATATATATTAATATATCATCAATTTTTTTTTACAATTGGCAGTTGCCGTCTGTAGATATCAATCATATCACTTGTAATGATTTGCAAGTTGTGACATTTTGATAAGTAAATACCATTTTCACGATTTTTTAGAAATACTGGGATTGTTGAAATATTGAGTTTTGGGAAATATAAGGTCCTTTGTTTTCTCTTCTATCAATTTAGATTTCATTGCACAGTGATTAATCGCCATAAATATGGGATATCAGTGTTCATCAAATAGATAGCTGATTCCTATATAGCTAGGCCCTGATGATGATATATCAAATTCCAACCGATGAGAACACACTTTTTCAAATAATATGCATCCCCTTATTCATTCAAGACATTCTTGACGAGAATCACCCACAATTCACTGAGCCCTGGGCTTAAATCCTTAACATTAAATTCTTGCTCAGATAATGAAATCGAAGGTTTATTAAAAAAGTACTCTATAGCATATGTATAAAGTACAAGTTAATCTTAACTCAGATTTGAAAATCTAAAACTGAGACTGAAATATGTCACGATTTTGGCTGTACAATAAGCATAATAAAACAGTTTTAGAATCATGTCAATATCATGTTAAGACCAAAGCAGTTAAGTTATGTGAATTTTAGGGGCAAGTTTTCACAGAGTGACTGCTAAATGGACAAGTATTATGGTTAAATGGGTAGATAGCATGTCTGATTCATGGTTTAAAGGGAAATAGATTTCTATCAATGTAAGGCAATTTAAATAGATCAAAATCAGAACCTTTTACAGAAAAAAGCAAATGGCAGGTCACAAACCATCTCAAACATAAAGTCAAAAAGCCCAACATCAGGAGATGAGCTGTTGTATGTGTATCATGTCATTGAATATGATTTAAGCAGAGCATATGGCTCCTCCTTCTAATTATATTCTGTGAAATATGCAGGTTTGTAGTTGGGAATCCATTAACAAATATTTATCACATTTTTATGCCTACTAATTAATGCACCCCCTTGCAACCCCTCATTTAGCTCATTTACTGCAAGATTAAGATTAATTAGATTTAATTAGAAAAATAGTTTCACTGATTTTATGTTTTCATCGTGAAAAAATCATGTGTTTTCTTAATCTTAGATTGTCTTATTTAAAATGATATTATTGTTACATTTATCATATTCTCAATTCTTCAAATAGTTATTGTTTCTATTTTTTTTTGTTTCTTATTTTTTAGTACATGTACATGTAATAAGATAATCTTCACTCATTTGTGTTTTGGGCTAACTGGGATTTTCTGTAGGAGTTCCAATCACTTTTTAGATTAATGGAAATTGGAAACTGAAATAAAATCCCAAAAGATAAATCCCGAACAGGTGAAACAGGAAATGCCAAATCAATCCCATGATTCACTGACTCCAGATTAATGATCCAGAGTTCTGATTGGTCAGTAATGATCAGGTGACAAACATTAGGCATCAAGGATATATTGAATTGATACAAACATCAGGTGTGTAGACAGGAAGATTTTGAATGTTTTGGGAGAAACCCCAAACTGAAGTCATGTTTTTAGACATCTGGTCCTAATGATAGACTAAATGTAGGATAGTTTACCCCTCACTTATCCTGAAATCTTCAATGATAAATGCACCCTTTCATGGTTGCTAAGGTTTCAATAAAAATACAAACCTAAAAACACCAATGTTTGTTCCATATTGAAATTCATTCCAGTATAATAATCGTAGTAAACATTACTTACAGGATTCGCAAAAACATGAATTAAAAGCAGGAACTTAGTAAACATTTAGTATTAAATACTTTTCAATATTTATTACCTTATAAGAGAGTTACAACTGCTTCTATTGCATTGAGGTATTACGTTTGGAGAAGGGGAGGGGTTAGAGATGGGAAAGCATCGTATTCATGTCAGATAGACTATAATTTTTACATCAAAATCATAATCTAAAACAGCCATGTAAATAGGAGATAATGCTGCAGGGTGAGACATAAAGCATTAAGTTTATCTTGTCAATCTTTAAACATAAAATTTTTTTTTGTAATCATTTGCAAAAAGTTACCAGACCATGTAAAGGCCTGGAATAAAATGTGGTTTCATCATATAATAATACTGGCATAATGTTTATCTTGTCAATCTTTAAACATAATCTTGGTTTTGTAACTATTTGCAATATCTTGCCACATCGTGCTATTTTTTTCATGTTGATGTTAGTTTAAAATGTGGTTTCATGATGATAATACTGGCATCTTCTTTAGTTCCCATGATCCCTATGAATCCAACACCTGGCATTAGACTGTTTTCTGAAAACACATGCTATGATAGGGAATATCTAGGTTTATGGACTCAAGGTTGATCCAAAATTCAATGTTGAAAAATGAAGTCAAATTGAAATTGGAATGAATATAATAGAGAAATATGAGCATTAGCATAGGAATTTTCTACTGGGTGAATGCAGATTGCAGTAGATTAGAAATAAAAAAGCAACATATAAATGGATGAAATGAATTAATGTGATACATCATACTTGTCAGGTCCTAGCTCAAGGTCACATTATAATACCAGAAACGCCATATGAGAGACTGACACAAAATCAGCGAGCTTATACTCTCGGAGAGGAACAATAATAAAAATTGACAATTGCACTCTGGGTAATATGCATAGTCGGAGGAACAGTTTTTCAAATTCCGACGAGGCTCGGTCGGTGAACCGAAGTCTGAAATCATCCTGTGATCGAGCAGCAGAATATCTTAATGGAAATTACCGTGGAACTAAAACGAGGACATATAGTAACACCGAAACGAGCGATGGATATCATGCACGGAAAATTGAAAGTGATATAACAAATGGATTTAGAACGTCAAGAAGCAGAAGGAATAGCTCAAGCAGTGATGTGTTCGATTCGGGAATTGACGATTATGTAGATAAATCAAAAATGACAAATTTGGATCTTGATGATGTGGAATGCTCTCATAGTATAATTGAGTACAGGCGTTTAAAATATGACAGTGGTCTACGTAGTACTAAACGTGCTGTAAGTTATAGTGAACCTTTGTTTGTGTATTCGCATGAAAATATTTCATTAGCCTTTGCAATGACAGTGCCTCATATGTCTCATTGTTAGCTCACATGGGTTAGCTTTTGTTTTATGTCACCACCAACTTGCTGACATATTGTTATAGTTTCCAAATTTTTTGTGGATGATGTACGATGGTTGGTGTTTTACGGTTGGTTGTTCAGTATCTTTTACAAATGGCAGATGGTGACATTTTGCATGTTGATGTCTCGTTTTATGTTTGGAATGGAAACTCCCATTGAAATAGTGATTGCCAGTTTAGCCCTAGATATAGCGGAATATATTTGTTATATTTCAAGGATGAAATATCATGAATCTAATGTTCAGTTTTCACACAAATACGGGTTAATATTGTGTTTTACATGTGTTTTCATTGTATTGAATTCAATGACAATTTGACATTTGTTTTCAAGATGTTTTTATTGTGTATAAACATGTGTTTTCATTGTGTTTGCAGGTTGCAAGATGTGGTGATGCATTACGTCAGTTGAAGGCAGAACTTGGAGCTTCTAAAGATGAAAATCACAAAACTTACAATGAGGTTAGTAAACTCAAGATTACACCTGACAGTTAAGATATGATTATACACACATCACAAATGTGTTACCTGAGGTCTATGAAATTAAATTATCATGAAATTACCCTCCAAAAGACTTTGGATATTGAGAATTTTCCCTGAGTGCAGTGTTTATCAGAATGCTCGTGATGATTTGCACTAATTATTATTAATATGATATGGAAATGCATCAGCCTTAATGGATTTGATTTATTTGAATCACAACTTTCTGTTTATGAATACCGATTATTATAGTCAAAGATGATAAATAATCTGGAGTTTTAGTTCTAAAAATTCTAGTTCTACACAATAAAATTCAATAATGTACAGAGCAGAAGTCATGTTGGAAGCAAAAAAGACACTATTACTATTATTGTTTTTGGATATATAAAAGTAACATTTATAAAAAGGGACATTGAATATTATTACTTAAATTGTTTTAGGTGTCGCATTATGAACGCAGAATCAGTCAGCTGGAACAAGATCTCAGGGAATCAAGGGAACAAAAAGAGAAATGTTATGAGGAGGTAGAGTGTGCTTTTCTGCTATTTTGTGATTGGCCCATTCCCATTTTTAGTGTCCATGGCAATATAGATAATAATGAACGAAATGTCACAATTTTATGTGTATTATATTGTCATGTATTGAATGTAATTTGTGAATGTGGAAAACCAAGAAGTTTAATTTTGGGGCAGTTTTGATTTTCAGGTTAATTTATTCTTTGTATATATAATATGAAAAAATGAGAATAAAATGAAAATGCATATGGGGTTTGTTGTAGATTGGTGCTCTCCAGACAAGGCTACGTGAGAGTCAGGTGTCAACTCAAGGTCACCATGACGTTTTAAAGTCAGAGCTGGAACGTCGTGATGAAACAATACAGAAGTTACGACAGGATGTTCTTATATTACAAGACAAACGTGACGCTTGCATCGTAGAGGTGAGTCACTGTGAACATTATTTGAAAATATTATTTCACGCTTTTAAATAAGTCAAAATTAGTGAAAAGAAATGTTTGATGTTATTTTTGTTGTTTTTTTTTCAAAGTATTAACCAGATTTCGGGAAAATTCAATATATTTGGAGCTTTGGATAAAGGAAAACATTAAGTGTATGTAGTAGTTGTTTTGTGCTGTAACTGATAAGTTATGTTACAGGGTTTGTCTTCAGATCAACTTGTTTTTAGTTGATGGCAATATGGTTTGATTCCTTTGGGATCTAATTGTGGTTTATTTTCTATAAATCTTGCTTGTGTTAAATGTTGCAAAATTTTATCACCAGTTGGATCGTGCGGATCACAGAATTTCTGTGATTAGCCAGGAGTTTACGCAGAAACACCATGAGGTAGTGGTTAGTTTGGAGTGCAATGTCATGATGGTCATGGGTTAAAATGTGAAATAGAATGAAATGGAGAGGAATTAGCAAGGAATGAAGTAAACAGACATGTAGTTAACACTCTAAATTGTATAAAAATGCATGAAAATCAGACACTTCATTCAAATTTTGGAAAGAAAAATGGCGAAATAAACATGACATCATGACATGACCCCCTGGAGCTATATTTCAGCATGGAAATGGAAGATTTCAGGGATCTCCTCAAATTTTCAGCAGTAATTTGTTATTGTTATTAATTTTTATCTTCTAGTCTAGATTGGGTTAAAATGTGGAGAAAGGAGAATATTCCCTTTTATCAAAAAGAAATCACTGCTTAACTTTGAGAAAGTCCCTTGTGTTACGTTATATTTAATACGTTTATTTTATATTATTATATTATATTACTTTAACAGCATGATTGTTTCTCAAACAAATCAAAAAAAGAAGGATTTCGATTATAATTTTTAAGATACTTATTTTATTTTTCAGTTTCATTATTATTTTCACGAGTGCATATTTCTAGTTTTTTTGTGATTCCACAATTTACGTTTATTTCATTATTTTGTCAGATTTATTTGTCAACTACAATACAATATTGCATCATCTGTTTGATCATAACCTGCATTTTGATGTCATTTCCATTCACGCATGTGATTTTGATTTTCATTTTAGATAATATTTGATTTATACTCAGTTTTGTGCATGAAGTTTTTTTGATATGCATACTTTTTTATATTTTGATACAACATACCTTATAACATGTTAAAGTTATGTTAAAAATTGATTTATGAAAAATATCTTTTTTTAAAACCATTTGAGGAAATGAAACACAAAACCAAGATATTCAGTGGTCATTTATCATTATTGGCATATTTTCTGTTTCCTTATATATTATATTATATTATTATATATTTTGTACCATGGCACAGTATTATATATAATATTCATCCCTGCTTGTGCTTAAAGATACAGGCTGGGCCTATATCAGCAGAACTTTAGACAGATTCACATCATTGCCATAACTAAAAGAAAACTCGCATTTCTGAATCAAACTGCTGGCTAGATGCTTCGAAATATATCTGAAATAAACTTGAAGGTTTTGAGACTGAGAAAGGGATTTTTTGTATGTTCTTAACTAAACTGAATAACTGCAAATATTTCAGTTTATATGTTATAAACCAACCTAAATAACTTACTATTTTAGGTTGAGCGCCACCAGACCAGCATCCATGGCTTAGAACAAGAACTGGAGTCTACGAGGAGACAACTTGCTGGTGCCAAAGATGAGGTATATATCTGGTGATATATCACTTGGAAATTACTCATTGTTGAATTTTATGAAAACAATGGTACCTGTTACAGAGCAGGGTTTAATTGCTTTGGTTCAAAGCATTTGTCAAGATTTGTCAAGAAGGATTTTGTCATTTGTGTCTGAATGACACTTAAAAGATCCTTTGTAAGGAACCTTTTTTCAAAATGTCTTATCCTGCTTCGTAACAAATATCGATAATAGGGGAATTGTCCAAATCTTGAAAGTTGTAGAAAATGAAGTTAATTTTGTGATGATTTAACCCCTCCCCTCTCCCATGTAATGAAAATGGAATTTTTGATTGTTCAATTTTCCTTGAATTTTCCTTGAAAATTTGAGTTCTTTAAAGGAAATTTTACCCTCTTCCCTCCTTAACAAAATTAGCTTCAGTCTTGTTCAACTATAGATGCTTGACACCACTCTTATGTAGCGCTTTGAATATTACGATTATGTGCAACTTGATTTGCATTATATTATAAAGAACTCTGTAATTGAAGTAAGTAAATTAGTATTAGTGAATGAAGAATATTTCATATTAAATTATCTTTTTGTTGATTTGAATTTAGAAAAATAAATTAAAAAAGAGAATGGTAAAATTAATCAATATAAGAATGGGATTGATAATTGAACAAAAAATATATAATTGGTATATTTAAACCTGGCATGCATTTGTTACAGTTTGGTTTTATTGATTGCTGAAATGCATGATTAGATACAAGTGCTTGAAATCATGCATTTATCCCATTATTATGCTTAGTGTCATGTGCAATGCAACGCATGAGAATCTAGAAACCGTTTGCTTCTATAGGTCAGTGCATGTCAAGTGGAAATCAAGAAACTTGAAGGAGATTTACAGGGTGCTCGATCCCAACATGCAGATGCATTGTCTCAGGTAGCCATCTTGAATTCAGCCATTTTGAATTTGTCAGTTGAATAAGAATTTGAATAAGAGAGCCATGTGTATAACAATTGTGTGAAATCTCGTAGAAATAGAATTGGATTGCATGGGTGATAATCACTTTCTTGTATGCTTTTAAATTTGCACTGTCCTTTTCTTTTTGCTTTCACATCTACATTCACAATTAACCCAACCTTAATTTTCACATCTTGTTTTTGTTTTGCATAAAAAAGCACGCTCCTATTATTTTCGGAAAATGTTCATGTTTTCTGAAGGCAACTGTATATTGTTGAAGGTTTCATTATACAATAAAGAAGTGCGAATACTTGTTTTTAAGCATTCGGCTCTTTACATGTTCACCATTACTCACCATTACTCACCTATTAATTGCTTTGTGTATTTTCTTTCCTTGTTTTCTTGTGTCATTTTTACTAGCTTAGTAATTAGTTTAGATATCATCTTTTATCGTACAAATGAAAATATAACTGATTTGACGAATGAAATTGGACCCCATTAAATGCACTCATGAGAGGGGATATCATACATTCAATATCCAGATCCAATATCAGCATGTACTCATTCATTCTTTTACCTCCATTGTGTTTGTCATATCCCTCATGCAGGAGGAAGCAAGGAAGGTTGACTCCCAGCATTCCCTAGTGATCTTCTTTTGACTTGCATCAACCAATTTGGTAAGAATATGCCAGTCAAAAGACGTTTACAAAAGAATGTTGCCATGGAGTTTTGATCTGAAATCATTGTTACGATCAGTTATATCTTCGTTAGTAACAATCTGATTTCTCCTATCACGTCGTTCACTCTCTTTTCCACCAATCACAACATAGAACACAGCTATGGCACTGCTTAACGAAGAACTCAGAATATTACGTATCAGACGTGATGTCATTCAACAGGAAGTAAGTAGTCGGGTCGATATTAGCATCGCTCTTAGAATTGTAAATAAATGATAATAAAAAGGCCAATATATATTTGTTGTATAGATTGAATATCGCATATTGTATGGGTTGGATTGGATTCATTTCGCCCCTGTCAGGAATGATAATAATTATTTCTCTAACTCACTGCTGTGTAGTACAGCATTTTTAATTTTAAATACTTTATACTATTCTGTGATAAACTATACTAAAATGTACTATACTGTACTGCACTGTACTGTACTGTACTGTACTGTACTGTACAGTACTGTTCTGTACTGTACTGTACTGTTCTGTACTGTTTAGTACTTTACTGTACTGTATTTAAGGACAAATATGCAAACTAAACAAATCTGGTCTGTGATTATCTGTATTATATAAACATACTGCACTGTAATGGTACTGTATTAATATACTGCACTATGCTATACTGTACTGTGCTGTTTTAACATATTGAACTCCATTATCTTGAAATACTATACTACATTATACTACTCAGATCTTCAGTTATTTCCAGTACTTCATCATACATGCACTTTACTATAAGCTATACTGTACTGTTTAAATGTACTGTAGTATGCTATACTGTACTGCACTCTATTAATATACTGTACTGCCCTATACTGTAATAACTTGCTTGGATTAAGATTCTGAAACTACAATCTATAGTGCATTATGGTATAAACTAGGCTAGTGTTTTGTTAAATGCGTTTATTAATATACAGGATTTCTTATTGAACTAATGAAGTGTGATTTTCACCAGGTATCTTCCCTAACGAGTAATCTCAAGAAAGCACAGACTTCTTCCAAGGATACCAGAGATATCTTGACAGCAGAAGTAAATATTCAATAAATAATTTTAAAATCATATTTCTGTAAGGTCATGTAGAAGTTCAAAACTGATTCCACAACTGCCTTAGTAACAGCGCTCAGTTTAGAGATCTTCCAGAGCTATAGTTTTAAATTGCCTTTCAAAGCTGTTTTAAATTACGTATAAGACCCTTTAAGATATTATTAATATATTAGTTTTCAGCTTGGTTGCTTTGATATCTTTTTACTAAAAGCCTTCCAGTTTTATCTTTGTTCTTTTATAAATTATTTCTCCTTTGATTCTATTAAATGTTAATCAAATTCTCTGTTTAAACTATTTGTTTGACTTTGTTCATGTTTTGCTCACTAGGTGGCAGAGCGGCATGATGCAATCATGAAACTAAAAGCAGACGCCAAAATCTTAGAGGAGAAACATCGCGACACATTAAACACTGTCAATCATCGCGGAGAAGTTATTAAACAGTTACGAGAAGAAATCAAACAGGCCAATAACAGAGTAAGTCTTTGTAGAACAAATTAATATTATATATTTTTAGATATTGCTGTCACATGAGTATACATTTAAAATACTCATGATAACAAAATTTAATGGATTAATCAATATTGGACAAGAAAAATACATGTTTTCTGTATGTCTCAGACTAAGGAGTTGATGGACGAATTAAACCAGGCTCAGCGAGAGTGCCAAGAATTCAAGACACGTCACGAGACAACCCTCCAAGAGATTGACAGACTCCAGACGTACTTACAGGAGCAACAACTGACACAGGCCCAACAGGATACACTCTTTAAGGGAGAACTCTCCGACAGGGATGATGTCCTTAGTAAGATGAAGGGAGATATGAATATCCTTAAAGAAAGGCTGACTCAAGCGCAACAACAGGTGGGTTGCCTGTTATCAACCAAATCTTAAAGTTTTATTGAATTAGGCGGAGATAAATGAGTTTTGATATGGTTGCCTGTGAAGGATCCATATCAGCTAACCAGGTATCATTCACCAACGTATTTTCTGATGAGCAGAAGTGGCTCAAGTCCAACCTTTTCTAATATAACCAAACATATAATAACTTTTAGAGTGATTAATGACAGAATCTTAAACAAAAGGTTCTTTTTCAGTTGGTTAATCGGGATGATCAGATTTCCAGTCTCCATGGTGACCTCAGAAAAAGCCAGGATGTGATGTCTGAGCGAGACCAGACTATACATAAACTAGAAATGGATATCAAAGCAATTAACGAAGAGAAGCGGAAAACTGGGGACAATGTAAGTATAATGTAATCAGAATTGAACATTAATGTCAAGGTCTAGTGTAAGTGACGGTTCAATAGTCAATGGTTCATCAATGAATTGTTCATCAGTCAATGGTTCAGCATGTATAGAATATTAACATGATAGCTGATTTAATGTAGTTGAGAAAGTTCCATCTTGAATTTTTTTTTTTTGAAATGGATTTTAGGTGGAGCCAATGATTGAGAACTGTCACAAAAAGCAAAAAATTACTCGCAAAAACAGTTTAAATTGGAATTTGAAATAGTGTCATTTCTTTGAAACTTATTGTTTGAAACATCTTAAACACATTTCAGCTTTCACGTCGCGAAATTACACTGAACCAGTTAGAGAATGACCTCAAGGCAACTAGACAGCAATACAAAGAGTCCGTGGAGGAGAATGGGCGCTTAGAGGCAAGAATACAGGCATTCACTATTAATGCACAGAGTGAGCAGGATGTCCTCTCAACAGAGGTGAGATGTCTTTAACCTTCTCGGATATAGATTTAAAGCACCAGAGTGAGTGCTTTATTTGTATTTAATATATTACAAGTGGATTGATGCTTTCTAAACCAAGACCATTTTTTTACCATGTTATTTCCTTTTTCCTTGTTGTACAATGGAATGTCATCTTAATATTAACTATATTTCACCATGTTAGTATTCTATGTAGTGCATGTTTTATCACAATAAACAAACACTAATAAGATTCTTTATAACAGGTTAAACAGCGAGAGGGCATGGTCCAGAAACTAAAGATGGAGGTCCTGTCTCTGCAGGAGAAGTGCAGTTCATTTGAGGAACAGAAGACCCAAGATGGGCGTAGTATTGAACAACTAAGACATCAGCATAAAACTGCTTTGAATGATGTAAGTATATCGTTGAATGATGTAAGTATATCTCTGAACGAGTTTGTAAATTACTGAATGAGTTTGTAAATCTTTGAATACATTTTTAAATCTTTGAATGCATTTGTAAATCTTTGAATAAGTTTGTAAATCTTTGAGTGAAATTAAGAGGTCATTGAATGAAACTTAAAAAAATCATTGAAGGTGAAAAGTTTTGAATTATGTAAACCTTTTGCAGATCTTTGAATGTGAACTAAAAGAGCATTTTTAAAATGATTGAAACTCAGGATAATAGATCTTTAAATGTTGCTGGTAATTCTTTGAATGAATGATATTTCAAAAACTAAAAACAAAATTAAATCTTTTTAATTTCAGATTGAATCCAAAAATGACAACATCAGGAAACTTGAAACTGATTTGGAAAACTTGAAAAGGAAGATGAGCGATCAGAAAGATGAGATAGGGAGACTCGAAGAGCAGATTAGTACAGTGAACATTCAGCTCAACTCTGCTCAAAATGAGCAAGACAACCTCAATTCCACAGTAAGATATATTTGCTAATGATAATCCTATTGAAGTTGTGTGTGACCGATGCTCCACAGGGACGTTAAGCTATATTGTGCAAACTGCTAAAAATACAACATTTTACAAACCTGGTTAATATACCTCAAATAAACCCAAGTATGAGTTAGATTTATAATCATATTGAAGTAAGTAGGATAGATACAATCTATTTCAGTCAACAAATACATTACATTAACATTGGTTTTTGTTGAACAAGGTGCAATCCTATATTTCAAAAAGAGATGTCACTTTTAATGTTTGATATTTGTATTTCCCAGTTGGAACGTAAAGAAGATGCTCTACGCCAGATTCAATCAGATTCAGAATCGCTGCAGAGGCAGCATAAAGACACACTTATGAAGGTATGCTCCACTTTCATTTTGTACTGCACTTATTTTTTCATAGTTTTATACTTATTTACACCAGTGGCATTAGTCTCACATTGATAACTGGCACTAATTTTACACATTTTCATGATTTACATCCTTCCTCATGATACATGGTTGCTCATTTCTCACAAAAGTAGTCATGTATTTTATACCCTTGTTATTGACTGCACTCATGAATATATTGTTTGGCATTTTATTTTTTATAGAATTTTGTTGCATGTTACACATGGCCTTCCAAATTTGACATATAGTGACTAAACTGAAGCATATTTCTTATCATAGTAAAATAACTTAAAATAACCATATATTTTTGTCTTTGCTTCTTATGATGGAAAAATTGTGTGTGGGGGCCTTCCAGATTTGACCTACATTGACAGAACTGAAGCATATTTTTTATTAATACATGGCTATGTGGTTGCTTGTAGGTTGCTCAACGCGATGATGCAATAAACAAATTAACTGCTGAAATAAACAAGCTTAGATCCAAAAACCAAGAGAAGTCCGGGGAGGTAAGATATCCTGAGAATTACTTTTCACTCAATGAACTTGGTAAAACAAGTTGCTTATTGGGTAATGGACTGAATGGGCAATTATCTTTTCATCCTAAATCATGAACCCTGTGACATCTTCATACTGTAATTGTAGGTACAGAAGCAGTCAAGTACCATACTGAGGCTGGAAGACGCTCTCACACAGTCACAAGTTTCGCTGGATAATGTGAGACGGAAAGCTGAAGATGATGTAAGTGTTCTTCTTGTTCATTCTATAACTTTTTAATGTCCCTCTAATGCTTTATGTCCCATTGTATCAATTTTCTATAGCCTCAATTGTGTCTTGTTGCGTTAGATCAATCTGTAGCGTATTTTGTGTTTAGTTATGTTGAAACAATTTCTAGGCTTAATTTCATTGTGTTATTAAAACAATCTTTATGTACTCTAAATTGTGTCTTTACATTTTACTATTTTTCAAAAATATCCTGAATAATGTTTGTGAAATTCACTTTAAAACAGGAATGATATTATTGTAAAATTAGATCTTGTATAAAAAGGAAAAGTGATAAATATGGGAATAACATTTACATGCAAAAGCAATACGTGTACTTTGATTGATCTCACAAAAAATTGCAAATTCAAGTCTTTTGCTTGCTTAGTTTAAACATATTGAACATTGTAAAAAATATGATTCGACAATTACTAATTTTGTTTCCCATGATTCCTAGCAGTCAGTATCGATGAGATCGCGATGTAGCTCTATCTGCTTTAGTGACGTTGATTGTTCGCTAATCAGCGCCACCAATCTTGAATGGAGGGTACTAATACTTCACATGATGAACTTTATGTCACCTCTTAATACTTCAATTGTGGCACAGTGAGATTGTGTCACATATGAATTATGTCACAACTGAATTGTATCACAACTCATCTAAATTATGTCACAACTGATTATATTCAAAATGCCAAATTGATTAAATATCGATGTATCACATGAGACTGTACTGTACCATTTAATCTTTCTCACATACATATACACAGGTAGATTTACAGCGCATTCAAAACAACCTCCTCTCTTATGTTATTTCATTACTTTTTTCTTATAGAAATATTTTTCACAATCCAATATGTTTTGATTTTTTTACACAATAAATGTTATTTACTGGAAAAATAATTGGAAAGGTCAACAGCTTTTTGGTATTCCTCTCTCTCTCTAGGCATTCAACTTTGTACTTTCTTTTCATTTTATCAAGAAATATTAACCTTAAACTGAAAAACATGTCCAAAATAAACTGTACAACTTTGCAGTCCCATTTTACATCAAGGTTCATTAAAGCTTTACCCCAATTTTTAACACCAATATTTTCTATTCAATAAAGACTCTGGAGTGGTTCAACACAAAGGTTTGTATGAGATTCCATTGTAACATATCGTGATGTTCATGTTTTAAAATGCAAAATAGAGTGGAAAAGAGTGGAATTAGCAACGAATAAAGTAAACAGGCATGTAGTTAAAACTCTAAAGTGTATAGAAATGCAAGAAAATCAGGCAGTTCATTCAAAGAGCGAGGGAAAGTATCGCAACAGATTTTTGACAGTAAATAATTTTTTTCTAGTAGTTTCTGGCTGTACAAAAATGAATGCATATGAAAGGCCAATGTATAATCTTTAAGAAAAATTCAAAGAATGGTTTCAAGATCAATTGGATTATCTCATAAGCCATGTTTAATCCACCCATCAACAAGCTTTTTTCAAAATACAATCGTCATTTTCACCATCGTCCCTCATTTTTTTTTACAATTTTCATGCAAAGTTACATTGTACTTGGACACATGTTTCATCACTTAAAATATATAAGGAACTCCTCGTGGATTAGGATTATGATAATCCAATATAAGGGGATCCAATGGGGATCTAAAAGCTATGCTTTTAGTACAGCACACTCATATAAGATGTCATTAGTGTGCCATAAAGTTAGTTCAAAATGTTTTCATAAATGAATGGTTGGACTTGTTTGATCCCCTGCTGTTTGATCCCCTGTTTAATCAATGGAGCATAACCGCAGCATTTCCCCAAAAATTCTGAATACCTGTCAAGTTGACTGTTTAATGTTTGAGTGCAGTTAAACCTGTGTGTGTGTTTGTAAGTTGCTTTGTTTGTTTGTTTGTTTATATCCATCTGTACTAGGTGCTTTGATGCCACCTTTGTTTAGTCTCTGGTGCTTGTTTTTCACACTGTGCTATCACTTGTAAGTTTTACACTGATGGTTTGTAGAAGTCTCTTTTTTTTATTATTTATAAGGTGCTAAGAAATTCTAAATACCTCTCTTTATGATAATTTCTATGATGCCTTATTATAGCATTTACTTTGAACAGGTTTTCTGTATCTTGTTTATCAGTAATGATTCACGAGGTACAGTGCTATTAAATCATAAATACAGTACAAGAATTTAGTACATCATACCTTTGCCAATAATTTTAGTAAGACAAATATTTTGATCCAGCTTCTGAAAAAACATTGAACATATATGATGATGTTTTATAACACACTTCCTTATTTGAGTTTATCTCCAGATTGATTATTCAAATAATGAAAAAATGAAGGATGATATGCTAAGAATAATTTTTGCATATTCATCAATTCAAGAAATGTTATCCTAAGAAAATGTTATGAGTAACATACACTCTTACCTTAATGTTAACATTAGGGAGATTAAGCTTGCATATAAAATCGAAACGCCAACCTATGACCAATCGCCCATACAAATGCATCGCTAAATATTTTCCATTCACATTTAGGTTGTGAAAAACATTGCAAGCTTAAAGTCCCTATTGAGAGTCTCTGAAAACCACAATCAATACCATTGAGTGTGTGGTGTATACTATTTCTAAGATTTACAATAACATCTTTTTAGCAAAATGTCCGATTTTCTTCCATATTAATGTGAACAAATATAAACAAACATAGAATGATTCTATTGGTTGAGTCAACAATTTCAGTTATTAAGGAGGTTAAGATCGCACTATTTTGATGAACGTACACATGGAATGTGTAAACTAATGGTCCCCTATTCACGGTGTTATAGCATGACGGTTACGTCAAGGCGATTTGCAAAATTTTGCGGTAACGATAACAAAAAATGGCGGATGGGAAAGGCAGCATGTCCTCTTTCTCGCCTGTAGGAAATATTCACAGATAAGATTTCCTTTTAAACTAGTTCCATTCGGTGACGTATATATGGATGGTTATAAAGACTGGGTCAAATCTGCCAGGTGGTCTACAAGAAACAGAATATAATCTGTAAACCTACCGACTGAGATATCAAAGTTTATAATATTTGGTCCCTTCTCGTGTTGTCTCAGTACATGAGCCACTCAAAATATTAACTGTAAGTATAAGTAAACTGTGTATAACTACTGCAAATTCAAAATACATTATTATGGCTTGAGTAGAACATAGGTGGTTTCCAATGCTCAATTGGCTTTGTATGATCGTATGTAGGTTACATCTATATACCACAAGGTTTTTAGGCAATTTAGACCATGCCCTAACAACAAAAACAAAAATAAACAAATTACTAAATTTTTGTGTAGTTTTGAATTTCAAACTCGACAGTTTTTCTCTTATTTCATGTTATCCCCGGGCATCAATTTGCAAAGGCTACGTTCAAAATATACATTACTGAAAGTATCACAGAATGCGATTTTTACATAAATCGTTCATCCTTTCATTGATACACAGAAATAGAAAATAATGCGCCAACCTTAGTTTTCTCTTCCATCGTGGCCATTTTATTAGATAAATTAGTGAACGTAGCTGTCCAACCTCGTTTTCAGAGGTGGCGTAACCGTCATGCTATAACACCGTGCTATTGACTATTTTCACATCACTGGCCTCTTTTTGTTGCTTGATTGATATAATGCCAATTGATGTAATGGTCCCCAGTTAAACCAGTTGAGAGATGGACAACATTACTGGGGGTCATAACAGTACTCGTTCATGTTCAAGTTCTCACACAAGTGTTTTACACAGTCTGTAGCCAGCTTTTACCAAGGGGTAGGAGCAGTTTTACCAAGGGCAAAGCTTTTGCCTAGGGATGAACTTTTTGACAGTTTTGGCTAAAAAATCATGCGAATGCTCAGATTGGTGAGAAACTGCATCATTTTGAAAGAATCTCTTGGGGGAGCAGCAGCTCCCTTTATCTCTCCCCCTCTACCTGGCTAATTTTCACATTTTTTATATTTCTACTATTCAAATTGACCAATCCCCATTCATGTCATTTTAACAGGTCCGTTCATTACTTTACACCAGTGTTCATTAATCCCTTGTTTTCTAGTCGTATGTGCTTTTATTATTCAGTTTCACTATCTATTGTTTTGCCATGCCAGTTTTACATGTTTGCATGCTGAGTTTGTTTTATGTAATGTTTTTTGTTCCTTAAATGGTTTACACATTCACTCAGTTGAGTTGGGGTGTTGCCCCATTACTAGTTAATGTTGCCTAGAGTTTGTGACTGTACATACACAAAGTATTTCAAATATATATTTTAGAAAACATTTTATATTTGATTCCCACCCAAGGGTCTTCCACTCACCCATTAACATAAACAAAACATGAACTCTAATAAAAATGCCAACAAGACTGCAAGGGAAACTTAATCTATGAATTGGACTTTGCCATATCACATGTATTAGTCCCGTGATCAGGGAGGGGGTGTAGGGGGGTTGAGAGACGACCCTCTCCCCTAGGCACATTTTCTGTCAACATCCTGCAATTTTTCACCACTTTAGTACTTTTCAAGTGATGTTAGGATGATGCTTTCATTTAATTGCTTGAACTGATGGTTTCTCTTGAAAATTCATGCACATAAGGTGATCTAGTATTTCAACACAGGACCCTGAAAGCGCTATTTGAGCTTGAAGTAGAAGTATTCATAATATTACTGTTTGTATTATTAATCTCTACGATTTTTCAATAGGCTAACTCAGTCAGTGAATGCAGGATTAAAACAAAATACACATGAGTAATTCACCCACCTATGCATGTTATTATTGAAAAACATTGCCATCTTTTACATCACTCCTAAATTATTTTTGTAAACATGCATTTTAAGAGGTTCATTTTTTCTAAAAAAACTCAAAAACAAACTTCATGGAGTTCCTTACATATTTTACTTGATGAAACATGTGTTCAAGTACAATGTAACTTTGCATGAAAAATTGTAAAAAAAATGAGGGACGATAGTGAAAAT